CAATATCCCAGTTTTCCTAAGAACACGTAGGTCTTTGTTCCTGGAACTCACCTCCATCTACACTTATTCTCTAGGTAACATTTTCTAGTTGCATACCTTTAATTACCATCTATATGTTGATGGCTCCCCAATTTAAATTTCCATCTTCAACCTTTGCCCCAAATGCTAGACTTGTATACGCCACCACCTACTTGAAACTTCCAACTTGGATGTGTCTGCGTGCACAGGCAAACTCATGACAAAACAATCTGAAGATGTTTCATTATGTCCCCTTTAGCTTACAAGGTTCTATTTGCCCCCCTCTTTCCTGTGCTTCTTCTTGGCAAGCAAAAAAGCTGAAAGGCTGGGAACTTTATCTGCCAGGCTCATCTGCCTTTCAGTTTCTGGTTGCAGCTGTGTTCTGCTAATAAAGAGCCCTGGTGGGAAATTTTGAAGGTGGAAGAGAACTAGAATATATTTTTCTTCCCCATGCCCCAACAGTAGACACGAAAGCTTTAGCAGACATAAGTTTTTGCAGTAGCTTCTGGGTGGCCCCTGGCGATAACTCCTCTCAGTGCTGTGGGGCAGCTGGAGCCATCACCACCAATTTCCTGTACTGTCCTAATCTCTGGATGGAAGCAAAAACTTCTACATTCACTGTATGGGTGGTGGTGGCAGAACTGAATATCACTGGGCCCCTCCCCTAACTTGTGTTTCCTCAGCTCCTCCAATGCTTTTGTAAGCACTCAATTGCCTCTATTAAACCTCTTTCTGCTTAAAATACCTAGAGCGATTTCATTTTCCCTGTGTGAATGCTCACTGATATGGGTCCCCATCTTCTCAGTTAGTAACACCAACATTTACCCACTTGCAAAGAACAAAACTTTAGGAGTCATCCTTGACTCTGTGTTTTTCTCTTTACATCCTGCATTCAATCCAGCAAAAAGTCAGCCTGGATATTCCTCCAAAATATAGGCTGAATCCCACTCCCTCACACCCAGAGGATTCTCATCTCAAGTATAAGATCCAAATCTCTTATTTTGTCCTACAGAGTCCGGAAACCCTAACCCTTGCCCACCTCAACCATCTCCTTGCTCCAGCTATAACTCTCTTACTGCTTTTTAGTGAACATGCCAAGTTAACCCACACCCAGTGTGTATTTAGTATTTCCTGTGCCTAGATTCCTTTAACCGTATAACTTCCTGTGGCTTGTTCTTCCATTTCACTTAAGTCTGTTCAAAAACTCCCTCCTCGGATAAAACTTTCCAAATTACCCATCTAAAATAGCCCCTCAACCACCCCCTCTCTGCTCCTTAACCCTGTTTATTCTTCTTCCAAATATCTGTCACTATCTGAAATTATATTATTTATTTATAAGATTTCTTTGGGACTATCTATGTCCTCACTAGAATGTTTTCTTCAAGACAGCTTGGTCAGCTAGTTCACCACTGTACCCATTGCTTAGATTTGTACGTAGCAAATGGTAGGCACTCTGTAAAAAAGTGGTTGAAGGCATAATTGGATGGCCTTGCTCCTCTATTCAGAGAACTTGAGCTTCTCAAGAGGCACACAGTTAGCTGATTTTCTCAGGATATTCTCTCCCTTCACTAGCCACCATCATAAGACCCTGGTGAAGTCAAAGGGAAACTTCCACAATTGCAAAGTTATAGAGGACACAGATCACTTTCCTGACATATACCCAAATTCTTAATAGGGATTCAGTTGAAAATAAAGAAAATCCGTTTTAAATGTTCCTGAGAAACATTTTCTCTGTGCATGCATTTTAAAAGTTATTTACAATAGCACAGAGCATCAATATTTTGCCTCTTTAAATGGAAAGACATGGCCCACATTTACCTGGCAGGAGTCAACCCAACCTAATGGATCAACCCTTGACAAGCAAATACATATCATGTGTCAAAACCAGTGCTTTCTTGCTATATGTGTGAAGTGATGGGCAGTGGGAAGTCAATGAAGAACAGAGAGCAATGGAAAAATACAAGTTAAGAAATAAAATGATCTAAAGGCCAATGAAACTTATTTGGCTGCGAATTTCCTGCCTTGGCAGAATTATTTCTGAGAAGCCAAAATTAGCAGGGGAGATTTGAAAGGCAGTAAGCAAGAAGTTCAGAATGAAAATGCAAGAGGCATGACTTCCCAGAGCTAGTAAATAATGGTATACTTGCATTTTTAACTCTTCACCACCGCCACCAAGGGTGTAATTGCTTCCATAGAAAAGCTCTTTGATATGAGCCAAAGATGCTAAGCGGTGTCTAATTACATGGATACTGATGATCTCATAGCTCAGGGCTGTAACAATTGGAGGAGCTGCATCATGTTATCTCTGCTAAACAAGGCAGAGAAGATGTTTCCCGCAGAAAGCATTGTTGAAAAAACTCCTTTGCCTTGAACAAAGAAGCAAAGTGAAGTTGCCCACATAATATATACCATTAATTAAATATTATATACATAAGCATATATAAATAAAGAATATTAATAACTGTGGAAGTTATTAATCCTGAGCTCCAAGCATTTTATTTCTCCCTCTCTAGGCACATCGTTAATTTTTTTTCCTGCTTCCTTAAGGCTCTACTTAACTACTTAAGAAGTTCCAACAACTCCTGAGCATAAATGATGTATTCATCACTGCAGTATAGCCATCTAAGTGCCAGATACCCTGCTATGCATTTTACATATATTAACTCATTAATTCTCACAATAACCATAAGAGGTAGGTATTTTATCCTCTCCCCTTTACAGATGAAGAAACTGAGGCCCAGAGTAGCTAAGTAGTTTTCCCATGGTCAAAATCCACCAAGTGGTAGAGGTTGGATTTGAACCTGTGGAGTCTGGCCTCAGCACCTATGCTCTCAGCCACACAAATGATGAGAAGGCATTTTGCTTGTGTCAGGAAGCAAGGTGAAGTCATCTGTTTGGGGAGAAGCATCTTTATACGCAACAGTTAGTGACTCAACCCAGGGTCCATAAGTCCATAGCAGCTTTTTATCTTAGAGTTAACAAGCATTGTATTAAAGTCTTATTTTATGAATGGAACTGTATTTGTCAGTCTCTCTGACTCTCTCAGAGAAACAAAGAAAGACAGAAAGCTAGAAAGAGAGAAATGGAGGGGGAGAGGGAGGAAGAGAGGAAGTGAGGGAGGAAGGAAGGAAGGAAGGAAGGAAGGAAGGAAGGAAGGAAGAAGGGAGGGAGGGAGAGAGGATTTATTATAAGGAATTGCCTCACACAGTTATGGAGGCTGACAAGTCCAAAGATGTAGTGTGGAGACACTGGAGAGCCAATCATGCAGTTAAAATCCAAAAGCAGTGTTCCGTAGAATTTTCTCTTGCTCAGAAATGCTGGTCTTCTTGTTCTATTCAGGCCCTCAGCTGATTGGATGAGGCCCACCCACATTCAGGAGGTCAGTCTGCTTTACCCAAGTTCATCAATGGAAATGTTAATCCCGTCCAAAAAAGACTTCCAAGCTGACATATAAAATGGACCACCACAGAAAGATAGGACCTAGAGGGGTTGAGTCAAGAGTTCGAGGTTACATGACAAAGCCAATATCAGAACTCAGGTCCCCTGGATTCCCAGGCGGCATGACCATAACACCACACTGCCTCCCAGTGAAGCCATGAGAAGCATGTGCCACCCTCGAGGGAAGGGGTAAGGAGCGAGTGAAGGTGCCCTGCTCTTCAGCATTGCTTGTCCAATGGCCAGGGCACAGGGGAGCTTCATTTCCTTCCTGCCAATTCTTTCATAGTTGATGCTTCAAATAAAAGCTTTTACAAATAGTAACGGTCTGCTATTTACTGTTTTAAAAAACGGAAACACAAGAAGCACAAAACATGGCTTAAAATTAGGTAAGGCATATGATTTTTTCCAAGCTGTAGCACTTTTGTTTAAGAGTGCTGAAGCTTGACCTCCTCAATTTAGAAAGACTAGATCTAGCCCACAATAAGGAGTAGGAGACAGACTGCATCTGGGCTCATCTGAAAATTGCATTTTAATTGCTTCTTTTATCTTAGAAGCTCCCTGGCTTCTTCCCAAATGATTCTTCTTGTCTCCCTGCCACATGCCACATTTTGTGACATGACTGAAGCAGGCGTCGACCATTGTGCTGGAGTCATACTGGCCACCAACTCAGATGCTCAGAAACATAGCCATCTTGCTCAAGGTTAAAGGTACTGTTTCATCACCTATACATGCAAGAAATGCATAGGGGCATGAGCTGGCCAGGAAAAACCTCAGGGTACCGACTCCACGTAGAGATGATGTAACCAGGAATTCCGAGAATTGGAAGGTTCGAGAGGTTTATCCAAAGCCAACCATTTTTTTCCCCTTAAGATCCCCATGGCCACGTTCTTTGCGTGCCAATAACTACTGAATGCAGCACTTTCTAGGTGCAAATCACTGCTGAGCACTTTCTAAGTATGATTACCTTTTCTCCAATATCCCTGAGGCCAGTGTGACTATACCCAGTTTACAGATGTGGCAACTGAGGTGCAAAGAGAGTAAGTTACTAGCTTAGTGTCACCCCGGTAGCACGTGGGGTACTGGCAACGGATCCTCTCACTGTTCAGACTAGGGGTTAGCGAATGTTTCCTGTAAAGGGCCAGCTAGTAAATAAATATTTCAGACTCTGCGGGCCACACATTCTCTGTTACAACTTCTCAGCTCTGCTCTCGTAGCAAGAAAGTCATAGAAAACACGTGAATGAATGAGCATGGATGTGTTCCAATAAGTCACTTACGGACACTCGTGAGGCACGCAAAACCAGCAGCTGTCTGGATCTGGCTGTAGTTTGCCAACCCCTCATGGAGACCATCATAGGTTCTGGCTTGATAAGAGAAGTGCAGAATCAACCTAGGCATCGAGAGCGAAATACGTTGTTTCTACCAGCCAATCACAAAGCTGTAATTATCAAGAAACAGATTAGAAAGAATGACCTTATCCCCACTTAAAAGTGGGTTTAAGTGCCAGAGAATGGGCAGCTGAGATGTGGGGGTGTGTAGGTGGAGCAAAGCGAGTTTGATTTTGGGTCTAAAGTGCTACTCACAGATGTCTGTGCTGGGAAGAGAAGGCAGAGGGGCGGGGTGGGAAATGGCAGCACCATTCAACAGGCAAGTGTGAGATGATGCCTTGGGGGAGAGTAAATATTCTTTCTGGTTTTTCTCTTTCTTTCTCATTCCAGAAAGACCAAGACCAGAATGTCTACCAATGTCACCTTGCCAGAGACACTGAAAGAACTCAAGAGGGGATGTAGGTGCCTATGGGTAGGTGGCAGCCAGCTCTACTTTCCAGGCAAAGGAGTCTACTCAGCCTTTGGGTCTCCAAGGCCTAGGCTCCCAAGGAACAGTTGAGGTGCCACCATAGGAAAGAGGGGCCGGGGGAGACCTATTATCCCAGGGGGCTGAGCACAAAGGGCTGAGACCCTCAGGGTCAAATCATGGTGTCCCATTAGCAGATCTTAGCTCTGAGGGACACCGCCCTCCCTGGAAGATGCACAATGGTCTGATCAGCAGCTGCCCCGCAGAGCCTTTCAGGTGGATGGGACCATGCGTGAGCCCAAGCTAGGCAACTGCTGGCCCCAGTTCAAGTCCATCTCGTGTGTGGAGTTTGATTAAGCTTGGTTCATATGGATCGCATCAGTCCCCCTCACCACCCCCCCGGTTTCGGGGCAATTTGAGGAGGACACAACCTCAAGGGGGAGATATTGGACTTTCAGACAAGATGGCCCCCAAAGGGTGACTCCATTTTCATTCGGGAAAGAAAATGAAAGAGATGGGAAGCATTTGCACCCGAGCTTTGGGAAGCCTTTGCTGGGCTATCTGAGGACTAAGTGAGATCCCGAAATGAAGTGAGATCCTTCCTCATGAAGCCTGACATGTCCTGGGAACTAAAACCTGTTCACCTCCATGCCCAAGTCACCTGGACATTAAGGAAGACGGAGCCTCAAAAGGGCTGTGCGGATTCACTCCATGAGTCTCAGGGTTTCCAAGGCTGGTCCCGGTTTATTGGGCGTCCTGCTGGGCCAGACCTTGGCAGCTGGGTGGCAAATCTGTCCAGATTGCTTGCACCTCCCCTCTTTGTCCTCTGCTTCTCAGCGCTAGCCTTTAGCACCCCTTCTTGGATCACTGGACTCCTCTCCTCCTTCTCAGTCCTTAGGCTGGGATGCTCAGATTCCCAGCTGGGATAAGAGGGCACTTGGAAGTCCAGCTCAGGGACTAGTTACCCAAGAGTCGGTGGACGGGGTGGGGCACCAGTGGAGTGAGACCCCGGATCTGGGGCCCGAGGAACCGTGTCTGTGCCGTGTGCTGCAGGGGAGAGGTGACACCCCATTCTGCAAACACTGCCCTCCCTTTCCCTGTTGACGCATCTGGAGGGCTGGGGAGAAGGGGCTGGTGCAGGGAGGTCTGTATCATTGACACTAATTCTGGGTATTGACAATAGGAAACCAACAACGTGAGAGAAGAAAATCAAAAGTAATATCCATTTGAAACTGTTTTGAAACTTCTGATCGTCTCTGCCTCCTTACCAAGAAGCATAATCACGATTACTTACAGTCACTAAGTGTCACAGTTGCTTCTGTTTGCCGTGTCACGCGTTCTCAGGACGACACCTCAAGACATACAGTCACAGCTCGGATGAATGACGGGTCCAAAATTGGACCGAAGAACGTATCTGGCCTCCAAGCTCCAAGTCTCTACGAGCTGCAGGCACACTTTTGCATTATCTCTAGATGATCATGCTTGAAGGATTGAAGGTCGCCTCTTAACAGAGGAGAGGACACTGCTCCCAAGAGGTGGCTCCGCAAGACCAGGAAGCAGCTCCGGGATCTCTTGTCAGCCTGGATCTCCCAGGTCACTGTATTAGTGTTTCTTTGTATTCTGATGCTTTTCCTCCTGGGGCCTTGCCAACCTGGAGGCACCGTCCCTCCACAGGGCTGGCCGATTGCTGGCGATAGTAAATGATTCACCTGTAAGCATACTGTCTGTGTGTAAGCCAATCAATACGGAGCCCATCCCCAACCACCCACTTTACTGGGCTGTCACACTCCAGGCCACTGTCTGCCTGCTCTTATCCCCCTGGGATCAAGAATCAAATGACCAGAGACAGCCCCTACCCCCCCAGAGCCCACCAAAGTTATTCCACCTAGCCCATCCTCTGCCTGTTTACTCTGCTTGATGTGCTCCTTCCTCTGGAAACCACAATAAAGGACTCTTGCCCGGGTCCTTTCCCTGTCTCTCTGCCTCCTGGGCATCCCCGCTGCTTCCCATATAGCCCTGCACGGGGTGGCCTGGCCTCTCCTCTTGGGAACTGTGAGCGACACACGGTGATTTCGATGGCGGTCATCTGATCTGTCGGCTTCACCGTACTTGAAAAATAGTAAAACCTGCATTTTAAAATAGTCGTGTCCCCGACAAGTTCTGCAGATACTCATGCTCCTGAAAAAGATGAAAATGACCCAAACCTTCATGCATCAAGTATTTTCTAGCCCAAACGTGTAAAGAAATGGCCTGGAGGGGGAGACACATGGGCTTCAGCGTCAGAACCTGGGGGCTTGAGTTTGTCTTCTGTTCTTTCCTCTGTGGAGCTGGGTGGTTACGGCATCTTCCAGTTTCCTGATCTGCAACAAGGAGGCTCAACTGGGTTTCAGCTAAGAAACCTGAAAACGATACGTCAAAAGTCGTGTCATGCAATCAACACTCAAAACCCTTATCGTGGCTGGCAACATTGTTCTTCCTCAATAATTGGTTACCCGCACTTTTTTTTTAACCAGCAGCCCAAATCTTATCTGAATGAAGACAGTCATTCTTCCTTTTTCCTCAACTATTCTCTTAAACATTTGATTTGCATTTGGTCATTAGAAAGCGTATAGACCTGTTTAATCATTAAGGGTTCAAAACCTATTACCGCTTGAGTAGAAACTAGAGTGAGCTCTGTTTCCCCGACTTGAAAGATAGGGCGTCCAAGAACCCGTCTGCGGACAGACCCCAGTTTGAGAAACACAACATTAAAAATTAAACTCTGGGGGCACCTGGGTGGCTTAGTGGGTTAAGCATCCGACTTTAGCTCAGGTCACGATCTCAGTTTGTGAGGTCGAGTCCCCCATCAGGATGTCTGCAGTCAGCACAGAGCCTGCTTTAGATCTTCCGTCCCCTCCTCTCTCTCTCTGTCCTCCCCTGAACTCTCTGTCTCTCAAAAATAACTAAACATTAAAAAACTTAAACTCTGTCCATAGCATTGATTGCTTTATGCTGACAGGACCATAAACCCAACACATGGGGGCCAAACACAAGCGGAGCCCCGCAATATCACAGTAATGCAGGAAGTTATTGCCCAAATAATCTCTGTTATAACATAAGTATATAGAGGTAGATGGAGTTTAAAGGAAACCACAAGAAAAAACAAACCTGCTCAAAGAGGGATCCCCAGGGATAGCTATAAAATAGCTTTAAAGTAATTCGGATCATCTTGTAGATTCCAAAAACCCCAAGGTGAAGCCTCTGCAAATAGGCCGTTTTCTTCTGGACGCACAACTTTTATTAAAGTCAGCTCTCTGGACTAAAGGACGTATCCGGTCTCCAAATTGCAAACCTCGAGTCTCTGGCATGACAAGTGGCTACATCCGTATGGAGAAAGGATTTGCTCGTCCCCCACGGACGCCACCAACCTCAGCTTCTTGGACGCGTGACCTGTGCGCTCGCACAGGGCCTGTGCTCAAAGGCCTCCGTGCTTGATTTCACTCTCTGCTGTCCCGAAAGTCTTACACTTTTTGAACAATGTGCCTGCGTTTTCATTTTGCGTTGGGCCCCTCAAATTATGTAACCAATCCTGGACACCCTCATTTTCTGTCCAGGGGAGGAAGGGGACCACCCAGGCCGATAGCCGCCCTGGCAGGCTGCCTTGGGGATTGCGCAGTACCTTCACCCGGACGGGAGGCCGGCTTTGCAGAGAACCTCCTTCTGCTGGAATCAGGATGAGCAAATTTAAATCATTAAAAATTTAGCGGCTACCGGCTTAGAAAAGATGAAGCGTCCTAATTCAATTGAAAATACCAGAACAAAAGGAAAACGAAAAGCTTGCAATTTTTTTTCAAACCCTACCCAGCTGGCTGTTCTCTCTTGTTTATCTTGGCATCTGATTCTTTATTTGGTAGCAAATTAATCTGGGTAGTGATCCCTATCGTAAGTCTTCTCAATGGTTGAAAGGGCTGATTTTATTACAAGAGGCTAATTCTTTGATGCCTGCAGCCTGTTGGAGGATATGGGGCTGGCAGAGCGAGGACTTCCTGTTCTTTACAAGGTCAGGGGTCCAGAGAACTAATGTCTTGTGGTAAACGAACAACACAGGTGATTCCAGCCCCCAAAACCTTTCTCTCGGTCTTTGGCATGGGAAATAGCCAGCTGGATCACTCTGGTTACCATTAATGAGGCAGGGAACAGAGGCAGAGAGCAACTTTGTCCTCTGTGCCTCACCATCTCTTTTTAGGGTCCCCGTTCCCTTGTTGCCAGATGCCCCTAATCCCCAGGTCTTCATTTCCTCGGATAACGCCGTTGGGTCTCTGGTGCTTTCTTCCTAGGTGGGGTACCTGGCTGCGTTTCCCAACCTCCCTCTTGCCAAGCCCCGCATCCTGTAACCTCAGGACTCTAACCTCAAACACTACTGCCTGGAAAACATTAGGCAACTGATGATGTTGCGTGATGGTCAAGGAATGATTGCATTTCACAGATCGGGGGTTGGGGGGGTACCTCCCAGATACGTAATCCACAGGGACTGCTCCCCATGTGGGCATTTGAGGACATGATGAGGACAGGATCTGGGAGTGAGAGGGGCTGAGAGAAAGGCTGTCGAGATTTACTTTTAAAAATAACATATTTTGTTTAAATGTTTGAAAACGTATGCCAATGTCAGTGAGATGCGTCTTTGGGAGGCCAGGCCACGCCCCTGGAAACCCTCCAGTTTCTCCCAATGGCTAGCAAAATTCGTGCAAGGAGATGTGACACAGCCTCAGGGAAAGAAACCATCTTGGGGGGGGGG